TAACTTGTCACTTTTATTAAGTTTTATTCAAGGTTGGGTGCTTATTAAGCTTTTAGACTCTAAGAGTGACCAGCATCTAATTCTCCCTAAAGTAATAAAGCTGAATCATTCATTGAGATCATGAGAATAAAGGAAATGATTGCCAACCAAGGGAGCTTTGATTGCTAAACAAATTCTCATTGTCGGGACTAAAAGAAATGTATAGAGAAGAGTAGGGAGAATTTGGATACTGATGTTAGTGTGTAAAGGTTTAAAACTTTTCCTACCTACAAGGCGGGTGCTCATTTGAGGTTAGGTGCTCAATCAAATAAATCTGTTAAACTTTATCCACTAATGATCAGTCACATCTCTACTAACCTTGATTCCCTTAAGAATAGGATATGAAATAGTGTGATCACCTCCCAAAACTAGAGGTACACAGCCATAACCAGCAATTGTTGCAATATGTTTATGGATGATTTCCACAGTTGCAGCAAGGTTGTATGTATTAATAGGAATGTCACCAAGATCGGCAACCATGAGAGATTCAAATGATGCTGCTCCTGTGGCATTATTGTAAGGGCGAAGCAAACATGATTCTGCTCGTATTTGTCTTGGGCCCAGGCTAAAGAAAGTGGAATAGATATTTCATGTTATAAAGAAAAAAAAATTTTCCCTCTTTAAGACTGATCACTCCAAATTTTATAAGGTAGCAATGGAATTTTTCAGTTTTAAAACCACCCTTTGGTTGATGAATGGGAGTTTTCATCACCCTTCTCCAAAAATCAGCTTTAAAAATCACTGCTTTTAAAAATGCAATGAAAATTAATAGAAAAATCTTGGCTGTGCAGAGCCTCATCCACAAATTTCTCTCTTTTGCTAAGATCATAGATCAGTGGAAGATTCTGTGACCCTAAAGATCAGGCAGCTGTACTACAGACATTTAGTTAATCTTTCTTTCTTTTGACAGGAAAGCTTTATCATAATAAATGCTTCTTGGCACAGCAGGCCGAACGGAAAGAGCAGAGATTTTGGTAGATTTCCTCACTCTTCAATTTCACATACTGATATTTAATGAAAGAAAACAGTGGGTTGAAATTGATTATGTAACAAAATAATTTGGTTTTATCACCTGAGTTGATCATGTAAATTAGCCCCCGCGTCAGAGCTTAAGACGAAGGGCTAACCCTCGAAACGTCAGCTTAGAAACTCTTTACGGTGGCCAAATTATCAAGTCATACTCCCCTGCCGACGCAGCACCAACGTTTCTTTAGAAACTTACCCCGTTTATTCATTGGAAAATTAATTATCTCTGATAACCAAATGCTTCGTTTTAGAAGAATCTGGGGTTGCATGGAAATCTTTCTTCGACGAGTAACGGTGAATTCAAACACAGCACAGCCCCATCTCGTGACATTGGAACAAGGATAGGAGTCACTTTTAGCGTGTGGGTATTTCACTGTTTGCATTTCAACAAAAGAAAGGATTTGTATGAAATCTTCTCCCTATGCACTGACTTTTAGCACCCACCAAACCCACGCAAAATGACAACAAAATCCTCACCGAGTTCCAGATCTGTTTGAAGTTCCAGAGTCCAGGGGAATCCCAATAAAACAAACATTCAGTCCCTCCGCAGTTTCTCGTACAGGAAGTCGCATCATGGAAGCTATTCCACCGGCACGTGGCATATCGTTCGGGCTCATCGGATAGTTGAAATCTCTCGATAGACGACTGCAAACGGTGACATTGCGGGAATGAAGCCTCGGTGCGTTTGAACAAACCAAAAAACGCAAAACACGGCTTGAGCGATTCATAATAAATGGTCTTTGCTTCTCGCGTGCGTTTGGAACGAGTAGGCCCGCAGGAGGAGGAGCAGCGGCTTTTACGGCTAAGTGATTTTCTCCGAAGACAACAATCACCCGTTACCTCCCTGATATCATTTCCAAAGAATAATCATATAAAAAATAATTAATCAGAAAAAGAACAAACAACAAAGTATTCGGAAATGGATTTTAAGTTATGTCCCCTCGACCTAAAAAGGTGTTGATTAACAGCCACAAACAACATAAAAACTGTCAGTCGAGCAGTGTACCTCAACCGCGAGGCGAAATCAGACGGGACCATCCGACAGCGGTCCGAAGCCGTCCGATATCGGAACGGCACAGTTTGAAAATACGACGACCAGTCCGAAATCAGACGAAACCGTCCAAAATTAGACGGAGCCCCCTAATGTTGACCACACCCAAATTTAGATGGAACTGTCAGACAAGATTAGACAAGCAACCCCATCCAAAATCAACAGATATCGAAAGAAACCGTCAAAAATCAGACTGAATCTTCCGATGTCGGAGTGAGTCATCACCATTTATTTAAAGCCTTTCGGTTTCGGATAGAACCGTCAGAAACTAGACGAAAGCCTCTCAATCAAAAATAGTCCTCCGATATCGCACCACTCATCCGAAATTTGACGTAACCATCCGAAGTTACACGAGAAGGAGACGGAACCTTCCGGAGTGCAAGATATCTCTGATTAGACCGACTCACCTGTTTCCGGACATATCAAATCAGCAGGAACTGACCAGAATCATAGGAACATCCAACGGAATATTTGCAGTCGGATGGAGTCGCCCAAGTTCAAAAGTAATTTTCTCAAACTTTTCAATCGGATTAAACAAAGAGGTGTCCGAAATCAGACTTAGAAGTTTTCTAAGTAATGTTACCTGTCTGGTTGGTGTTATGTCATTCCCAGTAATTATAGCTCTTTTCCTACTCTGCCTGAGCTCTCTGACTCTTACAATTTGGAATGGTAACCATAAACAATAAATTTCTAGGAAATGGTTAACTTATACAAAAATGTCGCTTAAAAAACGATTTAATTCATGAATCCAACTTACACTCTCGTAACATGTTTGCACTTTTTCACAAATTTCAACGACTCAGAAATAAAATTGTAACATTTAAGTCAGGTTTTTGAAAAAGTTACAAACTAATGTCTGCGACTTGTATCTAAGCCTTTTTTCTTGTATCAGTAAAACTTGTCTACTCGTCAGCTTTCTTTACGTGAGTCATTCCAAGTACAGCACAGTGTTGCCTCTGTCCAACAGTCACTAGGACCTGTTTGGTCTGGTTTTCTTCTTGATGCCTCAACAGGTATCTCCGGTTTTGAAACCAGTTTCTGACCTGTATTTCCTTAAGCCCCAGTGCATTTGCCAGCACCCGTCGTTCGTCGCGGGTTAGGTAATGTTGACAAGACAATGCATCTTCTAAATACTTCACTTGCATTCGTGAGAAGCGCGTGCGTCTCCTTTTGGGCAATTTTTGTGTCTTACAGTCTCTTGAAGAAATTTGAACCGTTCTTTTCTTAGTGCCGTTTTCTAGGATGACAAATGAAAGTAGTTAAACGAAATTTCAAAATAGCCCGCGCAGCTGGAGCAAGTTTGATTTCTCCCTCTCGCGTGTGATACACGTAACACACGCGAGAGGGAGAAGACACGTTGGTAGGAATTTTCCCAGCCTCTCTCGCAAGCGTAATTTTTCGTTCACCCTGCTCACTCGTGTTAACACCTGTTACGCAGAATAGCAGACTAGTGCCAAACTAAAACTTGTTGCAGTTTGGAAGAACAGCGTGTTTTAAAAAGAACCCTTAAATATCCTAATTATGAATCACTCTCTACATTGGTAGATCTTCTCTAGATGTTAATGAATTTTTTTTAATGATGGACTCTGTTATCCTGAAATACTTTCTCGCGTGAGAGGCGATGTGTTAAAAAAAAAAAAAGTAATAATAATAATATGTATATACAAGTTTTGCCCTTTTCCGTCGAAAGTTTCTTCATGGCGGAGTTTATTTCACCTCCTTTGCAAATATAAGGACACGATGTGTCGAAATAGTCCTGATCATTTAATTTATGTTTCAAAACGGACCGTCCTAAAAGCAATTTTGAAATGCCTTGGAAAAAATAAAATGTTACTATAAAAACGCTTATCGTTAAAAGTTAATTAACCATTCTGGAATTTCAAGTGACTTGCGTTCTTTTACGGGTATCAGAGGCATCTAACAACGGTCTTTATTTTTAGCTTGTGTAGTAAAAAGTGAAAGAAGTCACAGAACGCAATGAACTTATAACGCACGTACTGATTGTATTCTTAAAAATGCATTTTTATCGCTACAAATTCTTCGTTGCAAAATATCATTGATAGTTAGCTACCTTTAAGCTCTACATTCAAAAGACTTCGTTGCTCTTCTTCGATCCCAACGAAGTCGGGTTGAAGAAATTCTATGCAGCTTTCCAGCGCATCCACATGAGTGCTGTATGCTCCATTCCCATCCAAAGGTCCTATTTCATCGCAGCGGAGGGGAAGACCTCGAAGAGGCTGGTTTCTTGTTTCGAATACACTTTCCCAGGTTTCTTTCTGTGGTTGCTCTTGCACAATCGGAGGTAATTTGCTCACACGTGACGGATCGGGAAAGTCTGCGCGAAGTATATTAGCGATGGAAAATGGCAAATTCTGGGCCATGTCGAGTTCTTTTAATTCCACTGATGCGTACTCAACAGAAGTTAATTGTTTACCCGGGAATGACCACAAGGAAATTTTCCCCTACAATGCCAGTTACAGAAGAAGCGTAAAAAGAGGGGAAACAAATCTCAACAGAAGGATAATGTTTGATCTAAAACTTACTTCTCAGAGCCGAAATTATAAGAAATTTTTCCCAGACAGTGTAAAAAATTGATTTTTAGACCATTAGAGTAAAAGGGATTCACCCGTGGTTAAATTTCAATCCATCCAATAGCAGCTTAGGACTTATTTGTGGTTTGCACGTGCAAATTTTGCAAACTCCTACAGGGTTTCAGATAAAAATAGGAGACAAATAAATTTCCAAGAGAACTGAAGAAACCATTCATACATCTCTCTTTTGATTGATATTAGATAAAAATTCCATTCTTTTCCAGCCTGTTTGTTCGAAAGCTGGATTATGTTATCCGCCGGATATATTTAAATAAAAGGAATATGCTAAATCTTTCCTACAATAATAGTACTTCAGCATTTATTTCTATTTATTTTTCGAAGATTTTACTGATATTTAACCAGCTTTAAACTACTTTGTTTTGGACGAAAATAATTTGCACCTTTAAGGCGCAGATTGCGAAAGTGTTGTGAGATTCTTTTCACGCTCGTCGTGTCGAGACAAGCATGACAGCAAAGCTGAAATTGAACCTCTCAGGCTTAAAACTCAAAATCTGATCCAGGGGGATCTTTGTAGACTACTCCTGGCAAAACACACAGCATCTCAAATAGGAAATTAGCGGCGAGGATCGAGGTTGCTCCTTGTAGATCAAACATAGGCGAAACCTGCAGATATGAGGTAAATCTCGTGTTACAACGTGCTGTTTACAAACAAAAACATAACTGACATTTTTCTGTTCACATGTCGGATTGTATATTGCAAACTTACACCGTCTTTGCTGGGTGTTCTGCGATCCCGGTCTATTGCTCGACAGACTTAAAAAACAGGAACCCCATGGACCTTCTCGTTGATGAGAGGAACTTGTTAGAAGGGGTGGAAAAAGACTGGATGCCACAGACAAACAAGCCTTTGACCCTAAGACTGACTAGCATATAATTTCTCCTTACAATATGACCCCTGAAACAAACATTTAGGACATGAGAATAAAAGAAATGATCCAAAATTAAAGAAGCCCTTGATTGTTAGATAAATTCTCCTTGTCAGCACGTTAGGAAATGTTAATAGAATAGTGTGGAGAATTTGCATACTGATGTTAGGGTGTAAAAGGTTAAAGGGTGTTAACACAAACCTCTACTAAGTCTCCACCAATGATGTTCATTCCTTTGCAGCCCCTGATTATCTCCAAGGCTTGAATTGACGTCAAACCTCCAATTTCGTGTGTTCCTTAAAGGAATCAAATTAAAGTTATTATTACTGGTTATTGGTTCCATTCAAGCGAGGCGGGAATGCTGTTTTACTGCTGAATTAACAGCTGGTTGAAGCTATGATATGGCATATAACCAGCTTCTCAGACGAACAAAACGTTGTTAAATGAGTAGTGAGGTGAAAAGTTGAAAATTGGCGACTTTAACGCAAGTTGATTTTAAACAGGGACGCCCAAAAGTCGTTTTTCTTCTGGTTGTAGCGATGTAGGATACCCTCGACCGCGTCGTTCCGCTTTGGAGACTTTTCGACCCAACTCCCCGTTGTACACCCGGCCACATAATGTTTTCAATCAAACATCGCGCCCAGTTACAGAAAACAAAACGCCCACTTTGCCGTATACGTAGAAAAATTTTCAATTGAGTTTCGAAAATAATCTGGGATTTGCCCCGTGATCGGTACAAAGAACTCTCCCCACTTTCTCAACCAATCAGGTGCAAAGCTTACACCAATCTCGACTTGGTCGCCCGCGTTTTCCTGCGCTTTTGGCGGTTTGCTTGTTTTCACTTTAAATTCTCCTTTTAGAACTATTTCATGATGACAACGATCTATCTAAAGGTAAAAAAATAGAGACCTGTTCCAGGTGCATAACCAGGATCTACTGCGTCGATGTCAAATGTGATGTAAACAGGTGCATCTCCCATAAGCTCTCTAACCTGCGCCATCAAAGGCGCCATGGATTTGTACCAGCAGTACTTAGCGGGAACTATCTTGAAACCCTACGAGAATGGGAAAAGGTAGTTAAAAGGATGGATAAAATAATGTTCAATTTATTGTCGAAAGCAAGCTAGGATAACTTTACTTTTGCCTTAACCCTCTGACTTCCACAAGTGACCAAGACAGAATTTCTCCTTACAATATCAGTACAATATCAAGTAGACAAGTGATGAGAATAAAGAAAGATATCGATTAGGGGATTAGAAGTTGATTCAATACCAAAATGAAATCTCAGGAGTTAAAGGGTTAATTTACTCCGAGAAAACCATCACCCTCTCAATCAAATAGATGCAAAATTTGAGCGCTTTTTAATCGAGTGCCGTAAACCCCAAAGTTAAGTAATTGCAACAGCCAATCAGAAGAAAGGAAATAACCGACCTGAAGAGCCAATGAGAACTAAAAGTAAAAACAAACAGACCACCTAAAGCGCGGGAAAACGCGGGCACCAAAGTCGTGTTTGCGTTCATTTTGCACCTGATTGGTTGATCTGAGAGAGTGCCGCGGGTTTTCTGGACCAATCACAGAGAAAACGGCAATTGCAAACCCAATGCAATCCCGAATTACTTTCGGTGCCCAGTTGAAAATGGCCTTAAAAAAACCAATCACGACACAGTCATTCACGCTTTCCCGCGCTTCAGGTAGTGTGCTTGGTTTTGCGTAAGGTGCGTGTACTTGTAATATACTTCTTCCGTCTCATTGGCTGTTGTTGTACCTTTTTTGGTAGGAAGAGCATAGGAAGAGCTCTCTTTGGATGCTGTACTAATTTTTACAATAACTTCCCCCTCTCAAGACCTGAAAAGTTATAACGCCTTCTTTTCAATCTAACAAGTGGTGGCCAAGTTGGGGCTTTGAGAGGTGATCGAGACCCACAACAGATAAATTTTTTCCTAAACTTTGTCGTAATACTTTTTTGAAGGGTACGAGTATCTGATAAGATAATAATTTAAAAGTTTATTACGCAATGAAAACTCAAAGCAATTACAGCCGACCTGCTTCGATCGCAAGACGATGAGACTTTTGCTCAGGTCTGATTGGTTGGATCAGTTCATGGGCCTTTGCAACCAATCACAGAAGGAGAAGTGATTAATTAAGTCCTTACCAGGTTTTTACCATATTCGTAGTCAATCGGACTGTTCCCAGACCCTCGTAGACCAATTACGACAACTCGTTCACAGTCCAGTAGTCCTTCTTCAGTTGCCAAGCGGAATGGCGTGGCGTTTGAGATTTTTTCTCCAAAGGTAGTTTTAGATGTATCTGGGTGAGCATCAAGATGAACAAGTCCTACAGGGCCGTATTTCTCCTGTAAAGAATGCAAAAAATTGAAGAAAATGAAATAACACAAAGGACCTCCGCCATACCACCACTTTTGAAATACCACCTTATAAAAATTTGGCAAACCTTCATGGCTTTTAGAATTGGATATGTGATGGTATGATCTCCGCCCATAATCAAAGGTTTACATCCATTATTGATAATGCCGGCCACGTGTTGGTGTATGATACCAATATTGGCTTCGATGCTGAAAACATTGACCGATACGTCGCCAACATCGGCCACCATCAGCGATTCGTAAGGTGCAGCACCCGTGTGAGTGTTATGAGGACGTAATAAACAAGATTCGCAGCGGATCTGTCTTGGAGCCATGCTTGAAAAAGAAGAAAATGATACTGTGATAAAGTTTACATTCCCAGTCCAGATTTTCTTTGGTCCGGGCCAGTAGATGCTCGTGATTCTGGCGGAGGAATGGAGGTAAGGAGAAGGGGCTTGGGGCTAAGGTTTGAAAAAAGTTTATTGATAACATCATGGGTGGAGGAAACATTGTTACATTTGGAATCTATTTGTAAAACAGAGAAAACACTCCCAATTTACGGCTAATCTCGTTCACTTTTTGTTTCCTAAGGGAACTTATCTCGTCACACCACCAAAAATCATTTCACGTGTCCCGATAAAAGGTTCATATCAAATGTCACGCAAAAGGCGACGAAGAACACAATGATCCACTTCGTACGAATCATGCTCGAAAAATCATTGAATTTTGAGGGAAAATGCGGCATAAAGATGTCAGCTTGCTTACATTCTATAAACACTTACAGTCTATTTTCAATATTCTTTCCTAATTTACTTACAAGGAAAGCCCGTAAGTTTTCCTTAAACGAAATGTCACAACAACGTTGTGTCTTGTTAGATGGAATCGGACATACGTATACAAAAAATTATTTTGTCAATCATACCGCGCTCCAGTTCGATGAGCATAACTACCGTTGTCCATTGGAATTCCGAGGAAACATGCATCCAAACCATCAGCTGTAGACTGCATAGGAAGCCGGAGCATTGTAGGAAATCCTGCAGCTCTAGGCACGTCGTCTGCTGTCAGAGGATAGTTGAATTTTTTCGACGAGAACAACGTGGTGGCGATTCCACGACCTGGCAGTGCTCGTGGTAGACGCTTAGAAATGGCAAGAAGCCCGGAGGCAGCCCTGTGAGAAAGCATGGCTGAGATAAAAATAGATAGGGAACTTTTAAAATTTTGTTTCGAACTGGAACCTACGGAACCTACTTTCCAAGTGATGCAAATGTCGTGACAAGAGCCTCATTTAGAAATCTAAATTCAATTAGTGATCAGATTTAGGCATAATTAGTGAAGCGTGAGGTCAAGAAAACCGGATGTTGGCCAAGATCTGCTTCTCTTTTTATCATAAACCTTTTTGTCCTTTTCAAATCATGGTAAGAGTTGTAAGGTGATAAGGGTTGTAAGGTGATAAGTGAGGTCTCCTTAAAAAAAGGTGAATTCACTAGTATCTTGAGATCTAAACTCGCTTGAACGCGTCACTTTTTGCGCCTTATGTAAATTTCGGTGCGCTATTATACCCGTATTTCACGCCCTCTAAGCAGTTTTTTATGTGTCTGAGTCATATCCCTTCAGTTTTAGGAATTTTGTGTGTTTTCGCCATATTTCAGTTCCTGAACCTCCACTCTGTAATTGGTAAGTTTTTCTTTTTTCATCATTTCTTTGTATTTCTTTTTTCCCCGTTCTCTTTTTGTTAAGTATGCTTTTGTAACAGTTATTTCCTTTTTTTTTTTAGGAATCTGCTTCGTCTCCTTCTTCGGCTTGTTGCAATGCTTTCCATTCCTTGAAATATTAACCTGAGATTTGATGCTGATCGAGCTAAAAGTCTGACACTATAATCTAATTTTAGACAAAAGTGTCCGATTTTAGACATTAGTGTCCTATTTAAGACAGTAGCGTACGATTTTAGACAAAACTGTCTGATGTCAGAAAGCATGGTCCGATTTTAGGCTCTAGTGTTCGGTTATGGATTTCGGACAGTAGTGTCCGATTTTTTATTTTGGACGGCTAGTGTCTGGTTTTGGCTTTTGAACAATAGTGTCCGATTTTGGATTTTGGACAGTTTAGTGTCTGATTTTGGATTTTGAACAGTAGTGTCCGATTTTGGATTTTGGACAGTTTAGTGTCTGATTTTGGATTTTGCTCACTATGGTCCGTTTTTGCTCATTAGTGTCCGATTTTAGACGAAAGTGACCGATTTTAGACACTAGAGTCCTTTTTGAGTGACTACTCGGATTTTAGACACTACAGGTAGTGCCCGATTTTGGACACTAGTGTCCGATTTTGGACACTAGCGTCCTATTTTCGAGATTCCGATTTGAGACCCTGGATTTAGAGAACATACCAATTTTTTTTGTCTGACTTCAATTGTTCGGACTAACTTATTTCACCTAACCCCATTCAGTTGCATTTTATGAACTGAGGGAATTTTCGGTGGAAGCTCTTAAAAATCTAATGAAAACTGAGCTCTACAACGTTGAAACAAGGTGGCTTATTTGATATGTAGATGTGAACCTTTGACTTTAACAAGAAACTCTACAGGGTTTTTTACCAACTCAAAGATATCCAACTTCAAAATATTCAAAAAATTATACCTGAATAATTCGTAGCTCTGCGCCTGCGAGCAGATTGTGCGTCTAGTCCCAGTGTGTATGCGCACTTGTGTCCAGTTTTCTCAGCGCCGAATTCAAGTTGGAATGCTCAATCGAGCAGTTCTCAACGTTTCACTGGAGTTTTAGCGGAAAATTTAGAAAGTTAAGCTCCGTTTTTATGGATTATGGTCTGCGAGGAACCGATAAGGGTATGTTAACATGTAGTCTCGTGCAGTAGTCCTTTGTGCTTTAATTTGTTTACGGAATTTACGGCACATAATTTGTTTCGGGCGCGGGATAAATAACTTATCAGCGAGTGTGTACGTTTGGTAGCGAAAATGATCTTTTCCTTTGACTGTTTTGGAAAATAAGTCTAAAAGGTGATTAGCTAATAGAAAAATTTTCAGGCGCTATTTGATTCGCCCAAAGAAATTTTTTAGCAGACAGACTTGGCCGATCGATGTAAATTACTTTACAACAGGAGTTCATTTACCTTTTGTACCTAAGAAACGACCACTAAAAATTTGAATAAGGCTTTGAAATTCAATTGAAATCGTCCATTTTGGGTATTTTTCTAATATTTGATGTCAATTTCAACAGTGGTAGCAGCTTCGGAAAAAGAAACAAATAATATTCTTTCTTTATTTATTATTTTATGTGCAGCTGATGTCCAGTGTTCACCAAACATTTTTTATCTGCCACCTTTCTGTGCGAACAGTTTTGTAGAAGAGAAATGTGATTAACAATAAACTTGAGTTGTAGATGAGTAGCATTCAAAAGTGCCTCCACACCACATTAAAGATACTCACAGTAGATAAGGATTTGTGGTAGTAGAAGGTACAATAGCAAGTTCGTTTTGAAACTGAGTAGAATTTGTACTACAAGATGATTTGGTTTTATTAACTGAGTTCATAATGTAATTTGACCAATGTAAAGCATTTCTAAAGTTTATGGTGATAAATTTACATTTTCAACTCAGTTGATAAACCAAATAATCTTGAAATACCCCCCATCTACGCAGCACCACAGTCTCTTAAGGAACTTGCCCCTTGTAAAATTTGCACTTATTCACTCAGAAATGCATTATATACTAATTTGGAGGCTGAGGTAAAATTTTATTGTCATTCACTACATCTCTTGTACCAAACAAACCTAGGAAAATTAAGTTTCTCTAGATAAATTTATAGAAGATTTGATTTTCTTTTGATAACTATTTAATTTTGTGATTTTATTTTAGGCATCTATATGGCATGCTTTGGGTCATTATGCCTATGAAGATGCAATCTTCCTTGCTGAACGACTTTTTGCAGAAGGTAACAAAAGATTGTTAGCCCAACAAGTTATTAATATACCGTATTTAGATTTTTGGGTTTTATCTACAAGCTTAAAAATGAAGAACCTGTTTCCCTCCTATTTTTCTATTTGCTGTCTACTTTCAAAATAACTGACAGCCCTGTTAACCCTTTAACTCCAAGGAGTGATTAACAAGTAATTTCTCCCTGTAATATCTAAACATTATTCAACAAACAGGTCATGAGAATATTCAAACTGATCAGGTCAAGGTTGTTATCTTGATTTGACACCAAATTCTTGTAACTTATTTACAAGGAAATGTGTAGCAGCAAGAGGGGAGAATTAACAATCAGATCTTGGGAGTTGAAGGTTTAAATTGTTGTGTACCAAAGTGTTCTTCAGACTTAAACGGCAAAAGCCATTTTTTGCCTTGAAAAATAGCACATAACACTCAAAATATTCCTGTTTATAATCCACGGATGAAATTGTAATTGAATTTCTGTACTTCTGGTCAAATTTCTTTAGGGTGAATGAAGAACCCACTGCTATTTTCTTTACTTCTAATATGTGAGTTTGCAGGTCATTTAGAAGTAATACCCAAGTCTAAATTCATTCAGGCTGCTTTCCTGCAGTTCCTTCAATTGCAGCTTAGCTGCGAAGGTCACATCTTCACATATCATCTTCACAAATCATCTGAAGGTCAAAACTTGATTTATTCCATTTAGTTGTGAACACAAAACAAAACTGCATAGTTTTAGATTTAGCATAAATTTACTAGTAGTAACATGAGTTAATACTCTGCATAATTCATTTTGTTTCAGTTGGCTCTGATGATACTTTGTACCTTCTGGCAACATGTTTTTATCAAGCTGGTTACTGTAAGAGAGCATACTCTTTGCTCCAAAGCAAAGGCTGTCCAACTCCGCTCTGTCGATTTCTTTTTGCAAAATGCTGCATGGAATTAGACAAGTATGTGTCCTCTCAGGCATTGAAGATTGAAAAATTCTTAATTTCAATTTTAAAGATCTGAGCTATTTTTTATTCTCCAACTTGGAAATGTTCTCCTGTTGAATCACACAATTCCCATACTAATACATCTTTCTTGGTAAAAACCTGGTCTCTAATAAGTCTAATCATAACCATTACAATTTCCTCAAATGCAATTGGTGCATCAGCTGCTTTGTGTTTCACTAATCACTCTGTGTAGTTGTAATTGGACAGTGTAATCAGACAGCTGGCTGTAATTGGACAGTTGAAGCAGCCAATCATACTAAGTCCACTCAGCTAAATCTATCAATCACAGAATTGATCACAACAACCATTGCAACAACCACTTACCCTGAGGAAAAAAAAAAAGGGAAATGTCTAAATTTTTTACTCTTGACATTGTCTCTATCAGAGATGTTTGTCCTAAATGTATATGTTTTTTTTTCTGAAATTATAATGGTTAGGATAATTTGTATTTAATTGGTAACAGGACTTTGTGTCATCCAATTCTGCCTGTAATTATACTTGTGATTAACAAATTGGACTCCTGCTTTGTGGTCATCTGATTTTGTTAATCACTTGTATGATTACAGACCGAATTGGACTCAACTCTGTCCTATAACCATTATATATAACTGAATGATAGTGCACTCTCAGGGTTTTCATTAGAATGCATAATAGATTATCTGAACTTAGTAAGTAGTTGACTCTAATATGCAACTTTGCTGATACTGGGTCAGAATGAATGTGCAGATTAGCTGATGCTGTGCCAGGTCCCTCAAGGGGCAAGTTTTGCATGGCCTCAATCTTTGCTGTTGTTGTGTGAGATGCAGAGCTTAAAAAGCTGGGCAAATTCTTTCAACCCTTTCACTCCCATGATCTTTTTAGTAATTCTCCTTACTGTCTTCCATACATTACTTATAATTTTAATTTCGATAATTTGGTATTGAATCAAATGATAATCCTCTAATTGATATTTTTCTATTTACTCATCACTTGTCTACTTGAGATTGTATTGATATTGTAAGGAGAAATTCTGTCTTGGTCACTGCTGGGAGTGAAAGGGTTTAAGTTTATGTTTGCAAACCTTTTTCATTCCATGATGGGTTGAGGAGGTCATTGATATATGTGAGAATGTGAAAGTGACCCCTTGACAGATCTGGTACTGGGTTGGCCAATACCAGCATTCATTTAGGTGTAGTATAGGCAAAGTTGAGTATTGTGCTTGCTTACATGCCCTTTTAAGGGATTGGCAGGCATACTTTCCTTAATAACTTGGAAAGTTTAAATGCTCCGAGATGTGATTACCTGAACAATCACCCGATAGTGTTGGCTTCAAACTGTTTACTATCCCCTATTGAAAAATCCTTCCGGTAACCTGGTGTGACATTAGTTAGTAGCTGGTTCAAATTACTAAAAGATATTATATGTTCATTTGGCTTCTGTGTGATCTTTCCTGGCTTTGTAGACTGGCAGAAGGTGAAATGGCCCTGACTGGAGGATGCCTGACGAACAGCAAACCTCTAGAGACCATTGCTTCTGAGTTTGGTTCTGCAGCAGGTTATGGACTGGCTCTCTTGGGGCAAATATGCAGGTATTTTCTGTTATGATTATTTTTGTTTTTTGTTTTTTCATCTTGAAGTAATTTTTTTTGTAATATGCATTTCCAAAAGTGTTTTTGTTTCTGTGTCTCACTAAGTAAGTTTTATCCTTATTTTAGGAAATCAGAACAGTTTGCAAGAGCGGCAGAATGCTTTAAAAGTAGTTTGAAGTATAATCCGTTTTTATGGAGCTCCTTTGAGAATCTATGTCAGCTAGGTATGTGCTGTAATTATATATGGTAATTTCTGATAGGTGTTTGGTTTTTCTCCTGTACAAACTCTTCTTTTTCATTTTCCATTGGATCGGAACAAGCTGAAACCCTGTAGTAAAGTGTATGCTGTGAAACCTTTTCTTTACCTCAGCAATAAACATATTTAGGAAACCACCTCCAAATTTCCAACAGTTTTTTTTGTAGACTGTGTTAAGAAATTGGGGGAAGTGGAGATAATTCTTCAAAAATCATATTCCAACAAAATGCCTGTTTTATAAGGAACCTTTGTTTCATGCAATTAAATTTTAGCATGTTGACCCCTAAAAGTGACCAGCACCTAATTTCTCCTCACAATATCATCCCTAAATTGTACATTCTGGTCACAAGAAGAAAGAAAATTATCACCAAATAAAGAAGCTCTTGATTGTTAAACCAATTCTCTTTGTCAGCACCTTTGGAAATGTGTATAGGGCAGTGTGGAGAATTTACATACTGATGTTAGGGTGTGAAGGGTTTAACCATTCCTTCAGTTGCCATTATAACTGATCTGTGTTTGATATTTTTTTTCAATTAGGAGAGAAGCCAGATGCAGCAGATTATTTTAAATCATCTTCTTGTCCCAAAATCACGTCTTTCATTTCAAACAGAGAACATATGACAATAGGGTCCCCCACTGTTACCATGGATACAACAAGTCCATCAGACAATCAGCGACGAAATGTTGACACAGTATCCTCTGAAAATCTCGACCCCTCACACAACAAAACTCTGCAGAACATTAGCATGTTAATTTCATCCAGACCTGGCTCTCTAGATATGTCTGGTAGCAGTTTCACTGTGCCATCATCTGCTGTTAGTGTCAGTGAAAAAAGAATGCGTCAGAAGGTTGGAAGGAATCTGTTAGGAGCTGCGCAGTCAGCAAGTCCCTTAACTCCGAGGTATGACTGTGAGTGGAACAATTTAGAATCATGTTTCATGCTTCAAGCTATGACAATTTTGGTTGTGATGGCGACTAGAATGACTTT